TGGTCATAAAACATTAATCGGTTTCCAGTTCGGCCGCCGATAAGGCCTTCAATTTGCAATTTAAACATAGAACACAAACAGATAATCAAACAATCAAACAGATGGGCATACAATTGAACAGATATACTCAGTCAATTCAGTTTCAATTTCAATCAGTCAGTTCAGTAGTTTATTCAGTTCACTTATCAGTCATAATCAGTTCAGTTTAACGGTAATCAGTGGTTAATCAGTAAACAGTAACGAGGGTTGTTACACCACTCGAGCGCCAAGAGGCCCGCTCGAGCGTAAGGAAATCCGCTCGAGCGTGAAAAACGCACCTGCAGAAGTTTTTCAAAGGCACAAAATGCTGAAAGTGTGAAAATTTTGCTCGAGCGCAAAGGGACCCGCTCGAGCGGACCACCAAAAATTTGGGCAACTAGGAATGGGACTAAAGCTTAACCAACCTGTTCGAAACACGCCCAATACACCCTAAAACTCAAATATATGGAATTAAAGGATGACAACAAGATATATACAACAACCAACTCCACAGAACCTAAGTCCGGATACAACAATCAAAGAAGGAATAACCAGGATCGCTATAACCTCTCCCCCTTAAGGAATTTCGTCCCCGAAATTAAGTACAAGTTTTTCAAAAACATGATTTCTCAATTACCAACATTATTACAATGCCAAATTCAACAACTTGACCCATTACCGGTCATTCCATCTCTATTCAAGAGGCAAACTTCCATATAGTCTCCAACATGCATTATCAACATGTATCTCAAAACATATTCAATGCCAACAATATATTTGCATTCTAAAACATCATTAACATATACAATGTTAAAATTAACTTCCATAAATCGAAACATTTACAATGTTTTACAACTTAAGACATTTTCCATGCTCTCAAAGTTTATCAATATTACAAAATTCTCAATACATGATTACACATCAACAAACATATCCGGATATTTTTCACGGACTTCCAATTCACGTTCCCAAGTGGCTTCTTCCACTCCGAGATGTTTCCACAAAACCTTTACCAAGGGAATGGTCTTGCCTCGCAAGACTTGCTCCCGCCTATCCACGACCCGAACCGGTCTCTTCTCATACGAGACATCCTCATCTACCTCTAAGTCGGTCCAATCCAATACATGCGATAGATTCGGCTCGTACTTCCGAAGCATACTGACATGAAACACGTTATGTACCCCGGACAACTGCGGCGGCAAAGCTAAACGGTAGGCAACCTCACCAATCCTCTCAGGCCTATAAACTAAGGGAATAACTTCCCACTCTTCCTAAACCTCATCAAACCCCGCCTAGGTGATATTTTCAGAAAAACATGATCACCCACCTCAAATGCCAAAGACCTCCTCCTACGGTCAGCATAACTCTTTTGGCGACTCTGGGCTATAACAACCCGCCTGCGGATAAGCTCAACTTTCTCCGTTGTTTCCCTCACCAAATCCGGGACCAACAAAGGTGCATCACCCACCTCGGCCCAACAAACAGGAGACCTACATGGATGGCCATAAAAGGCCTTAAACGGTGCCATACCGATACTGGATTGAAAATTGTTGTTGTAGGCAAACTCCACCAAGGGCAAGTGCCTTTCCCATGACCCACTAAAGTCAAGGACACAACCTCGAAGCATATCTTCAAGGATCTGAATAGTACGCTCGGACTGCCGGTCAGTCTGAGGATGATAAGCCGTGCTAAAGGTCAATCTAGTGCCCAAGGCACTCTGTAAACTTTGCCACAACCTAACAGTAAAACGTGGATCTCTATCTGAGACGATCGACACTAGGACCCCATGCAACCTCACTATGTCCCGAATATATAAGTCGGCAAGATGATCTACCGAATCCCTCACGCGCATAGGAATGAAGTGCGCCGACTTAGTCAACCGGTCTACAACCACCCAAATAGCATCATTACCTTGCTGAGTCCTCAGAAGACCTACAACGAAGTCTATAGTGACGTGCTCCCACTTCTACTCGACAATAAGCAAGGGTTACAACAAACCCGCTGGCCTCTGATATTCGGCCTTCACTTGCTGACAAGTAAGGCACTTAGACACAAAAACTGCCACATCCTTCTTCATACCCCGCCACCAAAACTGGCGACCCAAATCATGATACATCTTGGTGCCTCTTGGATGCACCGCCAGGCGTGAATGGTGAAACTCTCGGAGTACCTCCTCTCGGCAAGACTCCGGCACAAACAAACGGTCTCGGTATCTCACACTCAGGTCGGGATACATAGTCAAACCCTTCTCAGCCTTCCCACTGGAAATCTTCTCTCAGAAGGATTCTACCTCAAGGTCATCTCTCTGTGCCTCTAACACTCGACACACAAGTGTAGGCTGAGCAACTACAGAAAATAAGGCCGCAGCCTCAATAGATTCACCCAAAAGTAAATCAAACTCGCCAAGTGCACCCAACATCTCCCACTCCAGGATGGCTATACAAGCTACATCACTAATGGATTTCCTACTAAGGACATCGGTCACCACATTGGCCTTTCTCGGATGATAGTGCAACTCGAAGTCATAGTCCTCAATGAACTCCATCCACCTCCTCTGCCTCAAATTCAAGTCTCTTTGTGTAAACAGATACTTTAAACTCTTATGATCTGAGAACACCTCGAATCTCTCACCATACAGGTAGTGCCTCCAAATTTTCAAGGCAAAAATCACGGCTGCTAACTCAAGGTCATGAGCAGGGTAATTCCTCTCGTGAATCTTCAACTGACGTGAGCCATAGGCTACCACTTTTCCCTCTTGCATCAACACACAACCCAAACCCTCTCGTGAGGCATCACAATAAACCGCATAACCCAAACCTCTCTCCGGAATAATCAAAATCGGAGCGGTGGTCAATCTAACTTTCAGCTCTTGGAACGACTTTTCACAAGTCTCACTCCATACAAATTTGATCCTTTTCCGCGTCAATCTAGTCAACGGCGAAGCTAGTCTAGAGAAATCTTTCACAAACCGGCGGTAATACCCCGCTAACCCCAGAAAATTGCGGATCTCAAAAACACTCTTAGGCTGTGCCCAATCTTGCACTGCCTCAATCTTGGATGTATCAACAAACACCCCTTCTTCAGAAACTACATGGCCTAAGAACTTGACCTCTCTTAGCCAGAACTCGCACTTCCCAAACTTGGCATACAGTCTATGAGCTCTAAGCAACTCGAGCACCACTCTTAAGTGTTCCTCGTGCTCCTCCTCAGAAGGTGAATAAATCAGGATGTCGTCCACGAAAACGACCACAAAGCGACCTAAGAATTCCCGGAAGATCCAGTTCATCAAATTCATAAATACTGCTGGTGCATTGGTGAGCCCAAAAGGCATCACCAGAAACTCATAGTGGCCATACCACGTACGGAATGCCGTCTTCAGGATGTCCTCCTCCCTAACCTTCAACTGATGGTAACCAAATCTCAAATCTATCTTAGAGAAACAACGGGACCCCTTCAACTGATCAAACATATTATCTATACGAGGCATAGGGTACTTGTTCTTAACCATAGCCCGATTTAATTTCCAGTAATCGATACAAAGTCTCAAGGAACCATCCTTCTTTTTAGCAAAGAGGGCCGATGCTCCCCACGGCGAAACACTATGGCGAACAAAACCCTTATCTAGCAGCTCCTAGAGTTGAACCTTCAACTCACTCAACTCGGCTGGGGCAAAACGATAAGGTGCCATGGAAATCAGTGCCGTACCAGGCACTAAGTCAATGGAGAACTCAATCTCTCAATGAGGTGGTAAACTAATAAGGTCCTCGGGAAAAACATCCGAATACTCACAAACCACTCTTGGCAACTCAACCCTGGTCTCATCACACTCACTACTCATAAGGCTAGCGAGAAGACCACTAAGTTCACTCCGCCCTTGCGGATCATACACCGGTGGTAACACACTACCAACTCGATCCCCCAAGAAATGGAAACAATCCCCGCTCAAGGTACATACTGTGATCCGCTGGTGGTAACAATCAATAACTGTCCGGTATGACGATAGCCAGTCTATACCCAAAATAACATCAAAACCCGACATAGCCATAAATACAAATGAAAATTGAAGTCGGCGGTCGGCGACCTCTATATCGCACCCTCTACACCCTTGTTTTAAAATCAATTCGCCCCTAACAGGCGATACAACACATATAGGAGATGCTAACTGCGCCAACTCCAATCCCAAAATAGATGCAAATGCAGCAGATATAAAGGAATGAAATGCACCCGTATCAATCAACACATTGGCAACCGAGTTGCAAAACAAAAAGGTACCTCTCACAACAGATGGAGCCGGTACTAGATCCTGCGCGGTAACAGCATACACACGCCCTGTAGGCCTCTAATCTACCTGCTCACCTCTCGGAGCAAAAGATTGGTGCACAGACTGAGACGATGAAGCCCCCTGATTAGCCCTCGAGGCCTGAACAGACTGTGCTGGCTGCGAACCCTGCGTCTATCTCGAACCAAATGCACCGAGTGTACCACCCAACTGTGGACAGAACCTCTTCAGGTGCCCCGCCTGACCACACTGGTAACAAGAGGACGACCGGCCTCTACCCTGACTCTGGCTCTGTGGTCGAGTCGAAGATGAAGCTGCTCCCTGACCTCCTCCCCTCTGCGGGCAAGCTGGGGACTTGTGGCCCAGCTGACCACACTTAAAACAGGTAAAGTCTCCCTGGCTGCCTCTTCCAGAACCTGAACTCGGCACTAGAAAGGTAGATCTCGCTAAAGCACTCTGGGATTGTTGAGGGTTAGAACCCCTTTGCCTTCTACCGTCCCCCTGACCATCCTGACTCCTCTTGGAGCCCCTTTGTCTCTCTTCCTCCTCCTGCATCATAGTCTCCATATGGGTCGCGGCATCCACAAGACGCCCATACTCCCGGATCATGGATCCCCCAACTCTTATCTTGAGGCCATGCCTCAACTTCCTCTCAAACTCGATACAACGGCGTTCCTCAGACACCACAAGCTCAGGTGCGAACCTGGATAAGCTAGTAAATGTGGCCTTAAACTCGGACATTGATAAACTTAGCTGCTTGAGCTGACAAAACTGGTCTCTCAGCTTCTCCTTGACAGTTGGGGCTAAGAACTTCTCTTGGAAAGCATCTACAAAGGCCTCCCACGTACCACCAATACGACCTCTCATGAACTTCCACCACTAACCCGTATCCCCCTTAAGCTAGAAAGATGCCAAGGTCACCTTCAATGCCCCGTCTTCGATGCCAATCATCTTAAACGTCTTAGTCATCTGTTCCAACCACTCATCAGCCTTAAGTGGCTCTTTCGGATCACTGACAAACTCATCCGGATTAGATCGGAAGAACTCCCTCTTCAGAAAGGAAGGCCCTGCATCAACAACCTGGGCCTGAACTGGATTCTCAACTTTGAGAATGCCTATGGATTCCCTCATTGCTCCTGCTATCTCGCGGGCTAAGGCACCTATGGACTGCTGTCCCACTGGCTCGGCCACATTGGCCTGGCCAACACCCTCTTGTTGCGCCGGAATCTCATCCGGTATAGGCATCTCCTGCCCTCTAGGCCTACCTCGTTTACCACCACGTCCTCGTCCTACATCCTAATAAAGGTAACGAAGAACATTAGCACATTCACAAATGCGCCGAAGCTATAACACTCGCGTCCTAATGCAATGGACAACTGTAATTCATTCCACGTAAGCACATAATCACATAAGCACTTACGAATTTCATTTCTGGATAATGATAGTCCCGAGGAGTTACTAGAGTTCCGGTTAGAAACAGCATTGATCAAGTGCTTTTCCAACAAGACTCACAGAAACCCAAGGATCCAATCAACATCCTAGAAACTAAATCTCATACCCAAATAGTCACATAAACATGTTGTCAAATAAACACATAATGTCATACACAAGTCTCTAACAAGCGAGACGAACCCATTGTGATACTAATCACTTCCCGTGAACCCAAAGTATTCGAACCCGGTACGCTCTGATACCAAGTTGTAACGCCCTCAAAAATAAACCCATCATAACATACATTCACGATAAATAGAAAAGATTTCATATTACAATCATCAGAGTATTCTTACAAAAGGTATTACATGTTGACAACAAAAGAAAATGCCCTATAGGCTTACAACTTTCCAAGTCAACACTCGGTTACAAAAAGAAAGTACTAACTCTACATAAAATAAACCCTTGGCTTGATATACATGTAATACAACAAAAATGAGTCTGGCAGCCTCCCAAGCTACGTCCTTGGAGGTGGCATAACACCTGTTCCTGAAAATGATGTCCCATATAAGGTGAGCCAACGCCCAGTAGAGATATGCTAAACATAATATGAGCAATAACTAAAACATTAGCACTTGATAAACGTTTAACTCATATAAACCAACATACAGTACAATCCAGTTCCATAATCCTTCACTTAACAACAACTCAACTTATAAACACGGTTCAGAACCTGGTCAAACAACTTAAATGAGACTACATCTCATGTCAACAATACTTCAAACTGCCATTTCACGGAAATTGTGTCCGCGGGATTCGGCGCCCATGTGTAATTATTTTCTTATGGCCATTTTACGAAAATTTCATCTGCAGGACTTGGCACCCATGTATAGATATTTTCGAATTTGCCATTTTACGAAAATTTCATCCGCGGGATTCGGCACCCATGTGTAATTATAGTCTAATTGCCATTTTACGAAAATTTCATCCGCGGGATTTGGCACCCATGTATAATTATTCTCGACTTGCCATTTTACGAAAATTTCATCCGCAGGATTCGGCACCCATGTATAATTATTCTTCATATACAATGACCAATCAATACACATATTCGCTGTATTAGTCCAACCGTCATACTCAATGACATACTCAAATTGATTAGTTTTAATTTACTTAATCATCATGCAGTGTCTACAACAATCAAGACTATCCTCCACCGATAACCCAAAGCAGTTATTTCTAAACAGATAATAAATACACCAACAGATAAATTATCAACATTTTCAAAGGTGAGTGATTAATGAATCCAACTCCACCATTCTATCTCATAATGAGCCAATTTACTCATTCCCAACTCAATTTCATATTTCCATAACAAATGTCATTAATTACACTAATGACCCAAATATACCCAAACATGGCATTTTCTCCATTTTTTTCAATATTGACCCAAAGGTCCAAATATTATCAACAACATCAATAACCTCATTTTTAAACCCAAAACACAAATGTTTGAATCAAAAGAATAAAATCCTCATTCTAATATAACCTATTTCAAACCCTAATTTTCCAAATCAAACCATTTATACAAAAAACTCAATATCTATGTTAAAGCCCATAAAGATGAGTAGGAATCCCTACCTCAAGAGATGAAACTCAAAGGAGATGATGAAGAAATCTCGAAATGCTCCAAAACCCAAGATTTTCGGATTGATAGGAACCCAAGCCAAGCTCTACACTCTTTGCAAAGACACTAAGGGAGTAGATCACTCAAGCTAGATCAATCCCTAGAGAGAAGGTATATTCTAGAGAGAGAAGCTCTCAAAAGAGGGTTTAGAAAAGTAAGAGAGAAAGGAAATGTGAAATCTGATTCAAAATCACCCAACTGTCATCTGATATACGACTATCCCGCTCGAGCAGAGAATAGGACGCTCGAGCGTCAAACACAAAAAAAACTGGACCCGCTCAAGCGCAAAAGACCCGCTGGAGCGTCAAGACACAAAATCAAAAAGTACCCGCTCGAGCGCAAAAGGAAATCCGCTCGAGCGTAGATTACCCTCTTCCAGTATTTTTTTACAGACTTTGAAAACCCGCTCGAGCACGAAGAGGCCCGCTCGAGCGTGACCTGCTCGAGCGTGAAAAACGCACCTGCAAAAGTTTTGCAGAGGCACAAAATGCTAAAAGTGTGTAAACTCCGTTCGAGTGCAAAGGGACCCGCTCGAGCGGACCACCAAAACTCTGGGCAACTAGGAATGGGACTAAAGCTCAACCAACCTGTTCGAAACACGCCAAATACATCCTAAAACTCAAATATATGGAATTAAAGGATGACAACAAGATATATACAACAACCAACTCCACGGAACCTAAGTCCGGATACAACAATCAAAGAAGGAAGAACCAGGATCGCTATAGTTACCTTTTGCGACGACAATTTATTGTCGAATATAATATGTAAAAAAGTCAGACCTTTTGCAACGGCACCGTTTTACCGTCGTTAAAAGTTTTATTTAAGACGGCAAAAAATGCTGTCGCGAATGGTTTTGTTTTTTTGCAAAGGCATGCCCACTGTTGCCAATGGTTTTAATATTTTTTTGCGACGGTGTGTTGCTGTCATAAAAAATAAAAAATAAAAAACTGCAAAATAATTATTAAAAATATTAAAATTACCTGTTTTTTGAGATGGTGTGGTGTCGTCGCAAAATAAATAAATAAATAAACTGCAATATAATTGTTAAAAATATTAAAATTACCTTTTTTTTTGCGACGGTGTGGTGCCGTCGAAAAAAAAAAAGCCTACAACAAAATTATTAAAAATATTAAAATTACCTGTATTAAATGAAAAACAATTGAAAAAGAAACCAATAATTGCATAATAATATAAAAATTCCTGTATAAAAAAAATAATTTCCCCATAATAAAAATATTCTTGCATTCATAACTACACATCAACAAAATTACCCTACATAATGTTCTATAATACATATATAATGTTTAAATACATAATGTTTTTCATAATTCAAAATAACATAAACCAAAATTATAAGTTTTGCTCATCATTTTCTGTGGGTAACAAAAACAAAAGTTAGTCGCATTCTTCACAGACGTGCATTCCACAAGAAGCAAACTCCTACTCAGGAAATATTTGAAAACAAAAAATAAATATAATTAATGACAATATAATTATGTGTTAATATGTTAATTACAAAAAAATATAAAAAATTAACTACTATACAATCACAAAGATAATTAATTAAATAATTTTGCCTAGACCGAAATCCGACTCTAACTGTCACGACCCAACCCCAAGGGCTTAGGGTTGGAGTCGCAACTTACTAACTTATTTTATTTGTAGCATTAAACTGCGCAAGCAAAAATAAAAATAAGTAAACATAAAATTTACTTCATTTTACTATTTAAAAAAAAAAAGAAAATACATCTATAGGGCTTTAGTTATTTTATTAATCAGTGACTGGCCCCGAGTAGCACAAAAAGGAAACCAAAAAAAAAAAGAAAAGAAAAAAGGATAAAAAAAAAAAAATGGTTCAACAGCAATCCATATGCGGGTTCTATTTTGTGGGGTTATGAGTTTCTCCTACATCTCGTCACCTGAAAGGGTAACAGATATAAGCACACAGCAGAGTGAGAAATATTATGCCAAGAGTATAGGGAATACAAAATAACTATGGATAGTTAGTTAAGCCAAACCATTTACATAACTCAATTTGGTAAATAAATTATTTAAGTGGCAGAAACTGAAATACCGACATTATGTAAATAAATAACCATAACCACTGTACAGAACAGAACAGAACAGAGGTCACTGAAGTGACAATCAGAACAGAGGTCAATGGATCCATGACAAACAGAGGACCACGAAGTGGTCAAACAGAGGCCAATGGTTATTTAAGTTTCCCAAGGCGTGGGACTCCCGTGATGGTACTTACAAAATAGAATTGTTTATAAGGTCTTAGTCAAATATTCTTTAAAATATAAACAAACATATCCATGGGTTTCATTTTCACAAATAGGGTTCGGAAATTAAACCACGTAACTGAAATATTTATATAATTTATAATAAAATATAAAACATAACTTGTATAAAATACATTATGGTAAGTCAAAACATACGTAAAATATATTATGGTGACTCAAGGTATAATATAACTTACTTTACTATTGACCCTTAACCTTAGTCCATTATTACAACCTTTTTACTATAGGCTCCTTACTTTCAGTATTCACGTACCTCTCTCTCGTTTTTCTTTCTTTCTTTCGTTTGTCCTTGCTTCATTCACAAACACTCTTGCTTCTTTTATACTACTAACTGAGCCTTGGTTGGGTGACACGTAACCTCTCTATGGAGGGCCATTATTATGCTAATAGATTTGAATTTTAATTATAGATTTGAATCTGAGATTTGAATCTTTTTGGAT